CCTGGGGGCTCTCAGCTCCCCTCGGGGTGAGCCCTCAGCTCCCCTCAGCAGCCGAGGCTCCCGCCCAGCGGGCGCGTCCCTGAGCGCTGCCCGTGCCCGGGGAGGGCTGAGGGTACCCGGGGCAGGTGTAAGTTGTGTCAATGCCCCCAAGCTGAGCCTGCAGGCGCCCCGGGTGCACACCCGCACACCCGCAGTTGTGTTGGCTCTGGCACTGTTCTCTTTATTGCCCTTCTGACGCCTTTCTGGTTTTAGGTTACATTTCCAAGCAGTTCATTCTGCCCTACCCCGCCGAGTTTTCATCAGGCTTGAAAAGACACTGGTAACGAAAGGGAAAAAAACCCCAACAAACAAACCTAGACAACCACACGGCCTTACTGCGGGTTTTTTACACCTTTATTTCCTATCTGCCCTTGTGCTCTGCTGTATTTCCCCAGAGCGGCCATCGGGACCGAGTACAGCCTGCAAACCCACCACTGGGGCTTGAAGGAGCTCTAAAGGCAAGTACTGACTCTGCTGCCATTATCCACCTGTTGTTTATTGCCCCATCTGTTATTTATCACCTTATCTATTACTTATGGCCCCACCTGTTATTTATCACCCCATCTGCCTTCCTTCTCCTTGGGGTAGAGCTGCTGCAGCTCCCAGGGCAGTGACTGTAACTCCATAGTGTGGGTAAGAAGGTTTTTCTTTTGAGAAACATGCTTTGTAACGTGCAGGTTTTTGGTTTGCAGTTTGGGGGATTTGTTTTGTTTTATTTTTGTTAGCAGATTGCATGGAGAGGTGTGGACCATCCTGCTCATGGCCTTTGTGTTTGAAGTTATTTATGATAAAGCTGAAATTACAGTTTGTGGTTAAACAGTTGTAGCAAGTTGACTATGTTTTTTTTCCTTTAACTGCTATAATTTCTTCCCTTAACTAAAAAGCTACTTCAAACCACCACCACAGTGAAGATACACAACCTGTAGAGTTAGATTTTGCAGAGTTATCAAGATAATACATCTTTCCAAAGTGTGGTGGAATCGCAAAATGTGGTAAAAGGACTTAGGGAAAATGGCATTTAGCTGTTTTCATGTTGTTTTGCTGATGTTACTTTGTGTATTGTATGGTGTTACACGTAGAAATGGACTAATGGGCTTAAAAGTAGAAAGTGGAGCTTGAAATGGTTGGTGTCACAGATGTCAGGGAATGGAAAACATGAATTTATTCTGAAAAGCTGGGATTATTTCAGCACACCTGAATTAAAGTTTATGTGATGTATTTTTTTTTCTTTCTTACATTTTTAATGTCATTCTTTCTCCTCTTTCTTTAAAGTACTTAGCATAATGTTAAATGTTTGGAAGGACCAGAAGTCTCAGTTGCTGTAATTAACAGCAAATGGGTGGGGAGCAATTCTAGACAAACTATTTATTGCACTTAGAATAATTCTTCAAAGGAAATAGTTTGGCTTGAAGTATTGGTAAGTGGATGGAACTTAGTGTAGCATGAAATTCACGTTCATGGTGTTGATAATTGGATGTGAGCTGTTGCATAGACAGTAGCATCCCTTTGGATTTTATGGGTTTATTGATGTAAGGAAGCTGTTGGAATTTAGTCTGCCCTGGTTAAACTCTTGTAGTGTGAAATAAACTACACCCATCTTTAGCTTTCTGTAAGTTATAAACTTGTCTTGGAATTGATTAGGCAGAGACTTGAGCTAAGCTGGGGTACAGGCTATGTGGAATTTGGGTTTATTTAGCTATGCAGTCTTTAAAGCTGACTCAAACTTCGTTTAGCCCTAACAGCAGTTTTTGTTTTGTTACTTTTAACTGTACATCCATTATCAGCACAGAGGAACTTGCTGGAATGATGAAATTTGAGTGCCAGTGTGGCAGAGGAGCGGGCAGAAAGGATGTGGCTAATTAGTGCTTGATTTATTGATGTTGATGAGTTGCAAATTGTATTGCCTATTAGAGAGAAAAGGGATTCGTTAAACAAAAACCAGACAGAAAGAGGGAACTCCTGTGTGTATTTAAATTCCAAGCCTGTTTCTGAGGAGTTTGGGATTGCCTTTGCTGCATTTCCCTGGCACCCCTGAGGGCCCAGCTCAGGGATATTTCAGGATGCCATTCAGGCTCAGGGTGTGCATTTCCCCATGGGGTTTGTTTAACTTTGATTCTTCCAGACTCATTTAACAGCTGGTTTTATCCCTCCCAGGATTGTGCTGTTCAATGAATTCCTGTATTTTCTCAGAATAATTCAGGGGGTTGGTCATTGTGTATCTCTATCTCCTGTTATCTACAACTTGGTGCTGTTTTTTCCCCACCCCAAGTGTGCTTGAAACTTTGTAGGGCTTTTTATCTCTACTATTCTCACACAGCATCTCTGATAGTACCACATTTTTAAGTTATCCCTTTAAATATTTGCTTGCAGTGGAATATGTTAACTTTAACTAGCATAAATAGTATTTTTCTATTAACTGCTTTCCCTCTTTGAACTTGCTCAGTTGACCTATGTCATTTGCCTATGTTTTTATTATTAAATAGCCTTTGGGCCACCTCAAATCCAGTGTGTGACCTCCTCCTGTCCATCTGTGCTGCTCCTGCCTGCACACATTTGCCAAGAGAAAAACTTAATTCTATTCAAAATTAATAAAATCTTTTTTTATCTTGGCAACTGATAAAGGAATAACTGTTTTGAAGTGATGTTAGAATTGAGTGCCTGGGTTTTCTGACACAATAAGAAATACATTTTGTGTACAAATCTGATGCTTTGTCAGCGTTGAAGTGTTGTGTTTTAGGTTCTGTGGCACCAGGTGTTTTAACTTCCAGGTGCCACTGAGGTGTTTGGCCTTATGGGTGGAGGTGCTTGGGCACATTTTATCTGTATTAATGCTCAATTTCAGGTTTACCTGTGAACAGGCAGTTTTCCATTTGGGATATTTACAGTCCTAAGCTTCTCCTTATCATTTTCTAGATCCTGCTCTTCCCAGGAAGCTGAGATCCACGAGCTGCAGAAGAGTTCCCAAATCAGCTGTAAGTCTCTGGACTGTCAACTTTTGTTTATTTTTCCATGTGCATCCCAGCAGCAGCAGGAAATGCCCAGTTTTGCACTGAACTGCTGTTATCCCACAAATTCCAGACCAGCAAGGCTCTGGATGTTCACCTTTAAATTAAACCCCATGCTGTATGAATTTGCTTTGTGGAAGAATATTTTATTTTACATCCTGGGTAAAAAAAAAGTCTTTGAAATACCACTGAAGACTTGAGAGGAAGGATTAATTCTGCTCTGCGAGTTATTGTGTTCCTTTGTATCAATTTGTCTGTGACAGAAGGAATTTATCTTCCCAAATCAGGTGAGATGGTTTGGCTTCATAGCCAGTGGTACAATTTTCTCCTTCTTGGTGCTTTCATGGGTTTGGTTCAAGAAAGCTGTGCTTCAGTTAATATTAATCTGCTTGCACTGAACTTTAGGGAATTGCCCAGATGAAACAGCCAAGAAAATCTTTTCCCTGGTATCATAAATGTAATATTAAAAAAAGGGTTTTTTCCCAGTTAAATTTAATTTTGAGTTGCTCTAGGATTTTATTGGCACTTCATCTAAACAAGTTTTGTGCTCCATTTCCCTCTATATATGAATATTTTTGGATGTGTAATGAGATTTTTACTGTTTTAATTTCAATCAAATTCCCATTTCAACAAGTTCCTAACTGTAGATCATTGAAATTCTCTGTTTTAGGAGACGTTATACTGGGCATCATGAACGTCAATGATTTTGTAATTCTCCCAGGCTCAAAATCTGGAACCTCAGTGAGATTAAAAACAAAGTAAGTGCATTCCATCTGATTGGGATTGAGATGGGTTTTCATAATTTTTAATAGGTTTTAATGTAACATTAAGTAGAAGAGAAAGAAGAATTATGATGTGTTTCTTTTCTTGCATTTTCTCTATGCTTTTATCCACAAGCCTTTCTTTTCTCAGGCTTTAATCTACTTCCTGATTAAGTTATGGGCTTTATAACCCTGTGAATCTCCTGGATAATACAAGCATACTAAAGAAATCAGTGGATTGTTTGTTTTAATATAATTAAACCCCAAACCTCTCTGAGTACAGGCACAGTTGTATCAGTTTTGATACTTGACCTGTCCTAAATTTTTCCAAGCTGTTTTCAGTCCTGCTGGGAGATAGAAGAGGGACATGGCTGGAAAGACAAAATTTCCAGCCTCTGTTTTTCTGCTTTAAACTTCTTCAGGTGCATTACTCACTTCCAGGTGATTCCTAATGAATGTTTTACTGTTTCCTCCAGAACTGTCAAGGAATTGCAGTTGGAGAAAGTGCAGTTAGAAACAGAAAACAAAGAGATGGAGAAGAGATTACGGCAGCTGCAGACAAATATGAGCAGGGAAAAGGAAGAGAGGAGGTAGGTTGTTTCCCTTTGGAAAAAAGGAATCCAATGAGACGCTCCCTCCACACCTCCAACTCCTCACATGCGATCACAAAAAATTTGGAACTCACAATTATATTCAGTCTCTTCTCTCCTGTCTGTCTTCCAATGATAAATTTGCTTCCCTGACTTTATTAATTTTAAACTCCCATATGATATTTGATCTGTTTTCCTCATTTATTATCTCTTCTCCTTTTCCGTGTCTGACTGGATTTGTCACCGTAGTGTTCAATCAGGAGACAGAGCAGTTTCTCTTGCACCCTTGTTCATTTCTGAGGATTCTGCAGAGGACACTGTTATTTTTGCTTTGGTTCCCTTTTACATTTGTGTGGCTTCCCAGAGAGGCACCTTCATGATGGCCAGCAAGGCTCGGGACCAAGCACTGAGGCAAACGCTGGGGTGAAGTTTAAACCTGAGTCCCTCTGAATGTTGGCAAATTTCTGCAACATCTGCTTCCCTTTCCTGCTGTGCTTTGTCACTGGGAACACAATTGCCTTGGATTTGGATCCCTTGGTGCTGCTGAGGGCCTGCTGTTGGCAGCTCTGTGAGCACTGCCCTGGGCTGCTGGGGCAGTGCTTTCCAGGTGACGTGTGGCACTTTTGTCTCTACGTTATTCTCGTGGAGCTGTTCTTGTTTTGCTCTCAAAGCCTTGTACCTGCAGACCCTGATAGGGTTGCTGTGGTGAGCTCTAAGGGCAGGAGGCTTTGGCATTTGTACTATTGGAATCATGGAGTGGTTTGGACTGGAAAGGATCTGAAAGTTCCTGGAGTTTTAGTAGTGCTGGATGAAGTCCGGGAGTAAATTGGGACAATTTTAAACAAAATGTGCTTTTGTTTTTATTCTTCTGCAACCAAGCTTTGAGAATTGGTAAGATTTTTGTTTTTAAGTTTAAAAACTTGGACCAATTTAATGGTTTAAAAAGAAGTACTTTCTTCCATGGTGTATTTACTGCTGTTAAAATAGACATGAAGCAGGTTTCAATGAAGGGAGTACTTCTGCTTTGGGAAATTGATGATCCTGTAGACAAGGATTTGTGGGCAGGCAGGACCAAGGATGACCCAAGCCCGAGCTGTGGCACAAAACAATGAAAACAGGAAGAAGGTAGGAAACCATATTTGTAAGTAAATCTATTTAAAGTAACAAGATTTAGAGCTGTTCTTATGCTGCAGAACAGGAAAATTTCAAATACTGTAAAACCAAAAGGTTAAGCCCTGTCTGAGTAAAATTCCTGACTGCTTATTTTTCCATGCCAAGCTTCTGATTCCCTTTGAGCTGGAGGAATCAATTTCTGTTGGGTGATCATTGACTCTTTTTCTATGACAATCTTCCTCATACCTAAAAGAAGGGATGTAGAACGTTCCTGCTAAATCTTTGAAAAATCTGTTTTCTTTTCAGTATGTACAAATGGGGTGCTTATTTTTTTTTTTTTGAAAAGTCTGGCAATTTTTCTTAAACTGTCAGAAAATGAGAACTTCAATGAAATTGTCTCCTTTGCTGTGAGAGGAGATGATCAGAATGAAAAGGTTTTCTTTACCCACCTCTTTCCCTTTCCTCTTCTGACACAGGGAACTCGGAGCTGTTGCTGCTTTGAAGACTTCAAGTTTCAGCTGGAGTGGCTGAGGAGATGAATGGGGCAGAATTTAATACAGGGCAAAATTAAAACAAGGGGTGAATGAGGGGCAGTGTGAGGCTGCAGGGTTAACCTTGTTTGCAGGGGAAAACTGATGAGCAAAAATGCTGAAAATTATTAATTACTGCAGTGTTAGATCATGGAAGGGTCAAATGGACAATATTTTGTGTCTGGAGAGGGAAACTGCTCCTGGGCTTCATGTCTATCATGAGCAATCCATGGAGTTTTCTCTTTGAATGTATGCACTGCTTTCCCTAAAACCATTTTCATTCTGTAAAAGTTACTCTTTATTCATGATCATTAGAACCTTATACAGATATATGTAAATATTCTTTCCTCTAGGTTTCTCCAGAAAAAGTGAAGTTCCAAGTACTCAAGGAACAGAGTCAAGGTAAAGACAACTTTCTTAACTAAATAAAACTTAAACAAACTTCTTCTGGATTATTGCTGCTTGGAGGTTGCTGCAATTAAACGGTGGAGAAATCAGAGAGTAGAACACTGGATTAGTTGAGATTTTTGTTTTGTTCCAGGGCCAGTGAAAAAACCAGTGAAGTCTGAAAGAGGAGATGTTGTAGCTCATGAAAAACTGGGAGTGAAGGGGATGGCCTGTGGAACACCTGAAATTAAGGGTGGGAGACTGGTAAGTAAATGGATTAAAAATAACTCTCAAGCAACACAATTTAATGTGTGTAGATTTTTGTGTGTCAGTATGTAGACACACATTTTTCTCTTTCTGATAACTACTTAGTGCCCATAAAGTAGAGAGATGTTTTACAGACTGATCTCTCTAAATGCAAGGAAACAGATTAAATGGCTCTGTTATCAGAACTAGGACTACTTCTTCAACTAGTAAAAGTTAAAGGATTTATTTAAACCTTATTTTTATTAATTTTCCCAGCATGTGGGCATGACTGAAGATGGCTGATCTCATCCTTAACTAAGGAATACTTCTCTGTGATTAAAATAAGATGTATGGTTGCAGGCAAAGGGGGAAAAATTAAGTGGTCCATGAATGTTTTGTGATTTTAAATCCTTAGATAAAGCCCAGGGCACATGTTGAATTCTGACTGCTTTCCAAGCTGGCACTGCGTTGGCTGTGTTAGAGTGCAAATTTCTATTATCAAGTGTGGGGTGATTTCTATTTAATAAGGATATTTTGCCTTATAGCAAGTAGAAAATTGTAATAATAAACAGGAAGCCCAGACTCCAAAGTGTGGTGTAGCCTCATGCAACTCGATTTTTAAAGTAATGCATGTGAATAGAGATGTTCCACTGTTGAATAAGAAAAGAACATTTTTATTCTAAAAAAGTATCATATCTCTTAGATCCCCCTCCCCACCCTGTAATACATTGTGATTTATTTCCATTGTTTTATTAAACCAGCTGGAGCTGCTGACCCCCAAAAGGAACTGATATTTTGTGTGTGTCTTTGTAATGCTCTTCCTTTGGGGGGAAAAAATACGTGCGGATTTGGAATTTAAGGTAACTTGCCAGCAAAACCACGGGGATTTTGCTTCCGTGCTCCCAGTTTCATTAACGCTCACGGAAGAAGGAACACCGCACGCTCCCAACAGCGCAGATCGTGCGTGTTTTGTTTTTTCCAGCGGTTTTTAGGGAGCGATCCCGGCCCTGAGCGCGGGGCCGGCTGCAGTGCCGGGAGTCGCCGCCCGAGGGCGCTGCGCCCCCGCAGGACTCCAGCTCCCGGGGATCCCCGGGGTTGGGAAGGATCGAGCCGCAGGAATCATTGGTCTGGAAATCCGCGCTGCTGTGAGGATTTGAGCTGCGATTCGCTGGCCCCGCGTTAGGTGCAGCTCCAGGTGTTCCCTGCTGATCCGTGTTCACACAGTGAACTTTGCGCCGTGCTCGCCCCGCGCTGCAGTGGCAGGATCAGCAGATAATGACGCCTTTAACAGCCACCATTTATTGCTTTTGCCAGGCACAAGTGCCCTTAGACGTGCAAGCAGTCCCTGGGTCACTTAAAGCATAGGATAGGTGTAAAAGAGAAGTTGGGAAGATCCCCTGCTTGTGTAGGGGCTGCTGATGTTTGACTCTGATTGCACTTCCTGCCTGTACCTTTGCTGTTTGTTGTGGTAAGAACAGGTCCCTCACTTGGAGAATGTGTAGACAAAAGATCTTTCCCATAAATGCATAAATTATTTTGTGGTTTTGGTTGATTATTATCCAAGAGTTGCTAATGAAAGCATTCCACAGTAATTATCTTTGTTCTAATAAAGGTTGAAAAATCACTAAAGTCACAGTGCAGGACTGTTTTTCTTGTTTTGGAGCTGTTTTCAGTCAATCTCATCAATTACAGTTTAGACTTCCCTGGACTGCTGTTTTAATGGCTATCCCACTTAGCCCCTTAAATGACCATTCTCCTGCTGACCTCTCCAGATGTGCTCCTGTCCACTGAGAAGCTTCAATAAGCAGCTCTTCATTAGTAAAGCACATAGTTCATAAATTCCTTTAAATGAGACATGCTGCATTAAATGCCTCATTCAATCCTTTCTGTACATGGGATGTGGTGTTCATGGCTTTATATGCAAAACATGGGCTGTGGGTGTCCATGGCCACTGCTCTCTGGTACCAGAAACCTTTAAAAGTAGGGGGTTTGTGTGTGTAGTAATAAAAACTTTTGTCTTTCTTATTTAGCTCTTGGTAGATCTTTGCAGTTTTTCTTATTTAGCTCTTGGTAGATCTTTGCAGTTAATTGTGAGCAAGATGACATAAAGTGTGGAGTGATCTTGGTTACCAGGTAGCTCAGTTGAGCCCAGAAAATTGAGTGCTGCAGTTCCACAGCTGGCACTAAAAATGTTGCTTCTCATCAGAAATGCTTTATCAGTAATGCTGTGGATCTGATTTAGGAACCAGTCTCAGAATCAACCTGTGCAAGCCTTGGAAAGGTTGGAAACGAAGGAGTGTCGTGGAGTGGTGCCTTTGATGAGGAGGCATCTGCAAAGTCTTTTCAGGAAGCTTTGCTTCTGGGGTCCCATCAGGTATGGCTTGTTCTGTTTTAGTGGCATTATAAATACTGTAGGTGCCATCTGAGATTTTAGATTAGTGAAGCTAAGAAAACCCATTTTATTCTTTCTCAGTGTGCCTGCCTTTATTATAACAATCATCTCTGAAGGTGTTTTTTAATGATATGCACATTATTCAGCTCAATTTTTGTAATGGTCTCTGGCAGTGGCCAGGTTGTCCAGCCCATGTCTCACATGGCACTTCAGCATGAGCTGCAATGCTCAAATGTAAAACCAGTTTTAAACCGAGGCAAGGAATGTGCAGGGCTCAGGAGTTTGTGTGCTCTATCCAAGTGCATTTTCTGCTTGCCTTCCATAGGCTCTTAATATTTCTTTGTCCCAATGAAAAGCTGCAATCAGCTGAAGTATGCATGGAAAAAATATGTAAAATTTCTTTGGTCTGATTAGATTTGTGCAAATCCAATCTGTGTCTTGTTCTTCTAGACCACAGATAGTGGTTTTTCTCTGTGGCTTTTTGTACAAAATAATATTAAACTAATTTTTTTTTTCTTTTCTGTGGGATTTTGATCTGTGAAGTCATGGATTTTCATCTCCCCCACTCTTTCTATGGCTCCAGTGTAATAATCTGTAATAAAAGAGTTTTTATGGCTGCCCCCATTACTGTGTTCTGTAAATGTAATGTTGCTTGCCACTTAAATTTTGGAGTTATGCAAAGACTGAGCTAAGCACAGACCCAAATGTGATGTTCATTCAAGGATAATGTAAATGAAGAGCAAGTTTATAAGGCTGAACAGCTGTAGAATTTTTTTTAAACAATTCTGACAGAACCTGTGGGGATTTGTGAGGTGCAGACCAATGTTACTGCTCTGAAGGAACCCATCCATGTGGAATTCCAGAAGGATGGCCTGAGCTACATGGAGAAACTCCTGCTGAAGAAATACAGGAGGTATTGTTGAATTTGCTGTTCTTAAGGAAAGAATTCAGAAATGCCAAATTAACAAAAATCCAGATGAAACTTTTAAAATATTAGATATATTGTCAAGAGTTAAGGGGAGTGTATACAGGGGACTTCATTTGAATAACATAATGATTATTACCAGGCTCAATCACTTTATAGTTCAGAATTCCTTCAAAGTGAGTATTTAGAGGCATTCTCTTTGCTATCAGTTTATTGTAGAATTTGAAGGCTGGTTTTGATATTTAGTTGCTTGATTTTGGGGCATTTGCTACAGGAGTTTTATAGAGAAAAGGAATCTTCAGTGTTCTTCTATGGACATTACAGAGTTGTTTTATGAGTTCTTGAGGAGCAAAGTCACCTCAGTGCAATTAAGAGGAGTTATTTACTGCAGCAGCATTAACTAGGCTGGTAGGGTTTTCCCTTTTTTTTTTGTGATGTATTTAGGAAATCAGACTTTTTAAGTTTTTTTTTATTTTTTATTTTATTTTTTCCCTGTTTCAGGACACCTGTTGATCAATTTTTTGCAAGTTGCATGAAAGATTCAAGGCCTGTGCAATCCCCGAGTGTTCATCAGGCTGGAGAAGGGGGACAAGGAGATGATGATGATGATGACATTGAAGAGTTAACAGGTATAAGAAATTTCTGTTTATTTAGTCTAAAATAGCTTTTCCTTGAGATTTCTCTGATTGCTGAACATTTCTGCTCTTAACTAGTTTCTGCTAAAAGCAGCAATGATAAAAGGAGAAATCTGTGGCTTTTCTTAACAAATAAATTGTGGCATTTTTGAGTGTGTTTTGAACAGGAAAACCTGAAATGCAGGAAATTATTTATATTTTGCAGATGAAGAGGTGAAGAAATACTGGGCATCTGTTTATAGAGGTGAAGAATCCAACACTGTTTCTGCAAATGCTGAGACATCTTTGAAAATTGAGTTCCTTGATGATGTGAGTACTGATAAAGGACTTAATGAATCTCACAATGAACTGATTTGTTCAAGTCTTGATATAAATATTTAAGATAGAAACAGTTAAATAACCTCCAATAAAGAAAAATACTGGTTCACTGGTTTTTTTCCATTCAAATGTGGAAAATTGATCATTCCAAAAGTTCCCTGTAATTTTTTTCTGTTGTGTTCAGGGATGTGCACTTTATGGGATTTATTCACAAATAAAATCTGGCAGCTTTTCAGCACTTTTAATTTTTTTAATTTATTTTTAAAATTTTAATCTGTTGCTGAGGCTGTGTCTCTATTTTTGTTTTTTATTCAGTCTCATAGCAAAGACTTGGAAGAATCTTCAGACCCTCCAGTGGTTCTAACTGGAGCTGTGGGGATGAGTAAGCAAGGAAAAACTGACCCACTGGAGTGTGAAAGGTATCAGAAATGCAGAGATTGTCAGGGAGGAAAGGAAATAATCCCAAATTTAGGGTTAGTTCCTAAGAAGTAAGGGGCTTTTCTTTGCAGGCAGTTATATTTGAGTTATTGGATGTCCACTGTTTTAAAGCCACTAGGGATTATTAATTGCCTGTAACTAGAGAGGCATCACTTTGAAATCCTAACCCATGTAAGATGCATTTCTTTGCATTTACCTGTCCTGAATTTTGGGAAAACTTCTCTTTTCTGAGCTCTTACCTCAGCAGGAGCTCACACACAGATTTTACCATTAGTCTGTGCTTTTCACATTTAAGATACTCTTACTTAACTAACCTTGTAATTCCAGACAAAAACAGTAACTGATACATCTGCAATTCTTCTGATCTCCCAACATTTATTTGATTAACTGTGACCTGTTTTGCTTTTCTGTATTCTTCTGGTCAAAACCAGTCCCTTAAAAGAGAAATGGGTATAATGGGAAAGTCTTCTTTCCATTTAACTTCCTCAGCTGACACTTTTTGCTCTTTCCTCTCAACAGCAATCCTGTTTCTCCTAAAGAAACTTTTCAAGGTAAATGTGAAAAGTTATTAAGATCTTTGTTGAAAATACATACATGTGTTCAGTTTATCATTCTCATATCGGATGGGATAGTCAACTACAATGGTCTGAAAAATAATTAAAGGTCATTAAATTATGTACCATTCTCTGGGCTGTCAAAATTTGATTTGATTACAGTTTGATGGGCTGTGTGAGCACTGTAGTAAACATGTATAACAAAGAAAACCAACTTCCAGAATCATTCACAGCCTGATAGGATTTCAAACCTTTTAAGGAAGCTTTATTCAATTTCCACAATTGCCTTTCTTTAGCTTTAATGGTGGCTTTATATCTTGAGTTCACAAAGAAAATAATGGACTTACAGCTTATAATTAATATTCATTACAAATATTGCTATTTTCATTATTTTGTTGTACTCCTATAGAAAAACTGATTGTCTGCAGTGATCTTGAAATAAATGCAGTGCAGGAGGAGAGTATTGAACCAAAGGCTAGGAGAAGATCACTGAGCTCCTGTGAACCTCCTGAGGAGATCTCTGCCCCCACTGAAGGAGGGAGCAAAGAGCTCATTGGGACTGAGCTGAAGAGCAGCAGAGATCTCCTGGAGACAGAACTGCAGCACAGCAGGAGAGAGCCACAAGAACCAGGCAGTGCCTGCAATACTCAGAGTTTGGTCTTGCCTGTAATTACAAAATCTTCAGCAGTAAGTTATGGTGTCTTTAATTGCTGAATAGATTAAGGATGTTGCTTTATCTGCTTTAGATTTAGGGGGTTGTCACTGCCTGCCATATTTGATACGTAAGGGATGAAAGGCTCAGCTTTCTGTTGCCACTTTTCTGTAAAGATTCAAAAAAATAAGAGAACAACCCACCTCAGATGCAAAAGATGCTGGAGGAGCAGCTCTTCCTATGTTTGTATTAATAGTACTTCACCTCTTGTCTGAATGACCAAAAAATGGTGCTCAGTCTTATCTAACAAATTATTCAGATCCTCATTTGCTGAAAATAAAATTAAAAGCAAAAATGATAGAAAAGGTTGGGACATTGTTTTGGAGTCATTGTTAAACAGTGATCACCTTCCTTTATGTACCCAAAAGTGAACACAAAGAAAATCTGCTTTTCATGCCTCCAGTGACAGAACAGACTCAAACTCTCACAATTTGAGAAGGTTTTAGGATTTTAAAGCGTATCTTGAACAAAAACAACATCTTCATGAAGATCTATTACAGCAGGCTGTCAAAATCAGTCTGAGTTCTATGAAATGAGTGTTGTATCAATCTAAACTTGCAGGGGCAAATGATAGAGTTGCCTGGTTCCTTTCCTGTTTCTAATATCTCTGTTTTACTCAAGTTACAGGATGTAGCCAAAAGACAGAAATGTGGTTCTACATCATATCAAGGGCTTGAAGGTTTCTTTGTTATAGGAACAAACCTTAAACAGGGAAAGCTGGAGGCACCTTCTTCCCTGGCTGCTGCCTCCAGCCCTAGGGACAGGAGGATCCCTTCTCCAGGTACTGGTGTGTGAAGAAGTCCTCAAAAATACACATTTTTGATCATCTTTTTTCTGTTCCCTTCCATCCAGCTTGCTTTTAGGAGTCACTTCAGGGTGACAGGCATACTTACATGAGTGGAGCTGCACAAGGATAAAATAAACTCCCTACTTTGAGGAAATCCAGTGCCATAAATATATATAATTATTTATATAAATATATCCCCTGAGAATAGGGCTCTATGAGCTTCCTATTACTTTTCATGATGTATATATGAAACAACCAGTGAATATCATTAATCTGATTAAATGTATCACTTGAAAATAAGCTTTCAGTCTGTTACATATCTGTAAAAATTTCATTGCATGGCTTCTTTAATTTACACATTAAATGCAGCAAATATAGGAACAGTAAATGCATATTAACACAAAACCTTCAGATAATTTCCTTTAATGTTTGATTTCAGGAGATGGGCAGTGGGTTTCTGAAAGGAGCTTAGGTGAATATGCTGATGATTCTATAGTTCAAGGTGTCTTGGAAAGTCAACTGAACAGGGCTGCAAATGCTTTCCAGGCTCAAAATCAACTTTCTTCTCTGATGGCAGCATGGATGCCATGGCCAGGTAGGGACAGCCACAGTTCTGAGGTCCTAATCAGGTTAATTTTAATTGTGTAAAATGGAGACACTCTGTTGAATTTGTTGTTTTTATATCTCAATTTGTATATCTGTATTGTGGGTTTTTGTTTGTTTGTTTTTTGAGAATAGGCTTTGGAGTTAAAAATGGAGTTAAATGTCTTTTCAGATATCTGCAATAATGCTTTTTATTTGCCTTAGTTTCTGCTTCTGCTGCTGCCCTTTTACTCCCCTCTTAGCTTGACTGTTTAGAGAATAAACTCTCTAGAAGAAGTTTCTGTATTTGTGTGTGTTGGTAGTCCCTGGTACAATTTGGGAGTGATCTAATAAAGGAATTCTTCCTGCTACAGAAGCACATTAAGAGAAGATTACATGGGCTTGAAGAAACAGGGACACAAGTAATAACTGTATCTGTACTTTTGTGGTACCTTTCTCAATTTCAGCTGTCTCCATCCCAAGAAATGTAGCTCTACATTATTTCTCACATCATGAGCAACGAGGTTGACATTTTAATTTAAATAATGCTGTGTGCAGAAATCGAAGCCGTCAATTTTGAATCCTGGGAAAATATTGGAAAGGGTCTATATTTTATTCATGTTAGTTTAAATTACAAAAAAAGGATCTAAACTTTTGAGCTTTCTGCAGTCACTCAGTGTTTTCCCTCACACAGAATTTGTGGCATTGTGCAGAATACTTAAATCATGTATTTCTTTTCTGAAAGATACTTCTGAAGTAGGAGGTGGTGAATTTATAGGTGTTAATAAAAACTTATATTGAAAAGTACAATATTAATTTGTAGTGATATTTTTCATCAGCTAGAGTTGGTTTGAGCCTTTCAATGGCAGGTTTTTGTCAGTATTGTGGTTTTTTTTCAAACTGATAGTGGAGATACTGCATGTTTTTGTTCATATTTGCTCCTAAAACATTTCAGGCCCTGAAAATCATTCCAACTTAACTTGTGAAGATGGAACCTCCTCCAGCAGAGCCTGGGAGAAGATCTTTGGAAATGCAGATTTCCAGGACACCCTGAAGCTGAAAGACCATGAAAAATTTAATATTTTTGGGTAAGTTCAATTTGCTGGGTGTGTTTTTATGATATTTTAGATTATTCAAGATGCCAACCATGTCAAAACTGAAATAAAAAGAGCCCCAACTCTCCAATTGTGCATTACCTGCTGATTACAAATGTCAGCATGACCTGTGTGGTGTCCTGGTGTTCTAAGCTCCTTCTCAGGCAGCTCAGAGCCAGAACTGAGGGATGGATTTTGTTGTTTAGACTCCAGATGATAAACTTGGGGATTGTGGGTTTTTCAGTGCATTAGCACTGAGATTTATGAGGTGAATCTCTTAAAAATCATCTGCATTCTTGGGTTGTGAAGCAGCTTTGAAAAGTTGTGAGCAGGTGAGCTAATAGCCTCTAACTCACTGTATATTTGTTATTTTGCCTTGGACACTGAGGAGATGCCTGGAACAAAGGAAGTTCCTCAATTTCTGTGTCTCACTGGTTTTTTACTGGGATCTCATAAGCAACAGGAGTCAGAGAAGCACTGGAGTGAGCTCCATGCTGTGGGATTAGAGCTGATTCAGAGATTTGTGACAAAAAGTGAGGGAAAAGCTGAATTAGAGTAGCTTGTACTGACCAAATCTCCAGTAAAAGCTATTTTTGTGCCTTTCACTTCAACATATGTGAACATATGTCAGCTTAAAGCAGAGAACTTGGGGAATTGGAGGTGCTGGAAATCACTGAGGTGTGTTTCTTTTAAGGGACTGGGAGGAAAGCCAAATGGATGATGAGGAAACAATTCTGGAGGACAAACAGCAGGTTCTGGCATTGCAGTGAACATGGAAAACTCAGCTCAGTCTCCACCTTTGTTAGGTTCAGAACCAAGAAGATCCAAGAGGTGTTTTAAATGTTGCTCAAGACATCATTTACAAAGGAATATTCTGTAAACTTGTCATTAAAACTTCTTGAAAATACTTTGAGTTGGCTTTTTTTTTTGTTTTTGCTATGAAGAAATAACAGAATAAAAGAAAACTGCTCTTGTGCTGCTTGTTTTTAGGATTATTTTACTTGTTATTTTTAATTCAATGCAAGTTCTCTTGCCTGCAGGTGGAATTTTGTGTCTCCAAATGTTGTTTTACGTTGCCAAGCTGGAAAGTGCCACACCAGGGGCATTAATGGGATAAATTTGGGGTCTCTGTATGATCAGGTTTGTGGTGAGAAGCACAGGGGGAGTCTCTAAGGTCAAGTACACTTTGTCAGATGTTTTAGAAGGAACTTGCACCTTACAGAATAGAATTTCACAGCTTCCCACTGTACATTCAACTTCTCCTGCCACACTCCTTTCTTCCTGACTCCAGCAGGGAGCCCAGCCCAGCAGCAAACCGCTGCTCAGGATCAATTGGGAGTGAATTCCCTTTCCTTCCCTGCTCCAAAATTCCAGTTCAAAGCCATCTGTGTCCAGGCAAATCCAGCTGTGCTGTAAGTTACTGCCTTACAGGCCTTTGATAATTAAAAGAACAAAGAGGAAATGTGGTTAAAATCATCCTGGGCGGTTTTAATTTTAACAAACAGCCCCAACTGTCCTTTTGAACTTGCTGTATGTGTGTTGTATAAAAAGCTTTATTCTTCCTGCTCCCCAGAAAGTGTAAGGTTTAATGCAATTAGTATAATTTCTGTAAAAGGTCATTTGGTTGATGTGGTGCTTTGATGTAAAGAGAGTTTGGGGACTTTCTGCTCTCTTGTTGAGGAGATGCTTAATTGTACCCAGTAATTGAGTGGCGTTGAAATTACCTAAATGATATCTTTTGCTAACATCTTTAGGATTCTCAGACACAGCATTAAAGTAATCTTTCCCTTCATGTGCCTTTTTCCTTCTTTGTTTCCTCCACTGTGGTCTTTAAGGAAAATATCCTCCTTCTCCCCTAGTTTAGGTAATAAAGGTGTATCAAAAGCAATGGCAAAGATTTGTCTTTTTGTGTTGGGAAATTTTGAAAGTGGGATTAATTAAAAGCTGTTGTCTGACATATGTTCTTAAATGTTTATGGGTGAGCTGCCTGGCAGGACTCTAAAATTTATGGAAATTTTTGTCCCACAGGAACTTTCCTTTGGGAAGAGAAGCTTTAAATTCTGCTTTCCCATGTTTAGAGGTTCACTAATAGATCAGTGGAAACATTGCAGTCCCTTTTTTGGTTTCTGGCAGTTAAACCCACTGTGCTTTGGGTTCTCCCCACAGCCCAGGACTCTGATGTGTTATCTGCCCCCCCAGCAGCTCTGCACTAATATCACACAACACTGTAATCTTGGCAGCAATTTCTTTTACAGGAAAAAGTACTTCAGCCACCCTAATTCATACAAACTAGAGGCATCAGGCTGAACAGACCATTGATTTGATTTCCTGCCTCATTTCTTGTCGTTAAGGTGAGGGCATATTTTCCACCTCAGTTTTCTTTATAGAGTTTACCATATATTGATGTTTTATTACAGCAGTTCTTTGTCAGAAATTGGGAGAATAAAATCACAAAGCAGGTGTTGTACTTTGGAGATGGAGGCCAGTGCTTTTCTCTCATCAATGTAACCTTTCTTTTTCAGTTACTCTTCCAAATATTCCTATTACACTCATTTCACTGGCACAGACAGCCTGACTGCTTCCATGCTGCTCTCAACCTTTTTTAACAGGAAAACTGATGAAGCAGCTGCTGCTGCAGTGTGTGCCTCGAGCCCTCAGCAGGCAGGGTAATCCTTTAAATTTGGGCTTGTTGGAGATAACCAGAAAGTCACTGAGTGCTTTCAACATCTGAATTTCAAAGTTTTCTCTTCCCATCCCTTTTGCTTGAAAGAAAAAAAAAATGTTTCTGATAACACCCTCAAGAAAATTTGGGCTAAAACCAAGCTCCCTTCAATGCATTAGTGATCCCTGTTTAGGCAGTGATGATTTTAATATCTCAGTTTTTTATTCCTGATTTAAAACATTTGAAGATGTTTTGTGTGGGTTTTCCCCTCTCTGTTGAAGTTACAGTGCTGGAACTGATATGCTAAACAGGAGACCAAAAAGAGCATCTGAATTGCTGCAGTTCTGTGATGCATTTGTTGCTAACAGAACAAATTTAGTGTTGGAAGCTTTTATTATTATGAATGTGTTTTTCTGTAATTCTCTGCATGATCTTTAAGGTCCCTTCCAACCCCTAAACCATTCTATGTTTTCGTGATACCAATATAATCTACAAATGATAATGTTAATTTCTTTTCTTTTAGGTTTTACTTTCTGTGGCTGTTGTAGGGGTGCCTGATCCATACCTGAGTGTTGAGGGATTTGCACAGAACAATCTCTCCAGTCCATTTAGAGAGAAGGAAAAGGAGGGGGAAAATGAAAGATCAGTTCAGTTTTTGAAGCTTCTGGGGTAAGTCTGTCGTTTTGTGTACATTGACTTTTGGTAACCTGATTTTGGGAAACATGAATCCTGGAAAGTGACTTGGCTATCAGTTTGGATTTTGGGAGAGGCCACCACACTTTGAAGTGTTTTAGATTCCTGCTAAGCAGCCTGGCAGACTCCACCTGCTCTGACTTTTTGAATGTGGCCATGTTCTGCTCTCAGTGTGATGTACAGCCATGTAAAGGGGACTAACACAAATTCCACAGGATTCCAAGTGCTAGAATTCCCAAACTGCTCTCCCCCTTGTCTTCATCAAGATATCTTAGTGCATTTCAGGGAAGATCAGAGGGGCTGGTGAATTCTCAGCCTGACACTGTCCAGGGGCTGTGTCAGATCCTGACCCACATTGATGTGCTTGCTTCTCATCAACCAACCAAATTCCCATTAATGAGCAGATTTACAGTGTAAATTGAATGTTTCCTGTGCTCAAAATCCAGACCAGCTTACTAGGGAGCCCTTGAAATATCTTCACTGGCTGCTGTTTGTCTGGCTGCCAGACTTTGTTATTTTGGTGTTGAAGGGGCCACTCCTCAAGTCAGAGAAACCCCCCAAAGTCCTTTCCCAGCTGGATTTGCACACGGGGATGGGCAAAGATTGGACAGTGAAAATTGAGATTTTCTTGTTGGTGTTTCTTTTCAACCAGCAAGGGATGAATTCCACTGAAAAAACACTGTAGAGGTTTGTGCTCCCTGCTCCAGAGCAGAGCTCTGTTTTACCCTTTGATTTTACCCTTTAACAGACTTTAAGATGCTTAAATTTGCTGCATCTCATTTGTAAAAATTAAGAGTTGTTCTTTTCTCCATCATAATATAGCTTACATGCATCTCATTTAATTATCAGGAACACATAAACCCAATTAGTTTTAATTTATCCAGACCATTTGCATCAGAGACAAATACATCTGTCTTTTTCATTTCAAAAATGAATCCTGCAAATTGCAAGCCATCAACACAAGGGCATTTCTAAATTATTTTGGTCAAGAGAAGTGTTCCGTGACTTTTTAGTTAATTAGGATTAATTAGGTTGTTTAATATGCCTATGCTTTTGGTAAGGGATGGAAACATAATAATCTATTTTATGTTAATAATGCAGATCAGTTAACAAGCCCAAGGAATGGAAGCCTTCAAAAACAAAACTGATTTTCCATATATTGAGAGATGTAAAAACCCTCAGAGGAAAACTGTGATTTATTTCAGTAAAACTGAGGCATTTCAAATGCTCCAAAGGAACTACAACAGAAGGGTTAAGAAACAAATATTCACCAGAATGAACTGTGAAACCTTGCTAGGTATGAATTAGGTTCTATTTTAGTGTAACTAAAAAGTCTGGAAATAAACCCCAAAACCAACAAAAACACCTCAGCAAATCCCTCAGGATCTGGCCCAGTGTGTGTCTATCTTATCTTTCTCTGAAGTAATGCAACAAAAATTACCCAGTGTTTGTGTTGAAGGATACAAACAGAATTTTATTTGGTTCTTTATCTGGGGTAGCATGGTTTGTGGTATTTCTACTATTTTTTTTTCTAATATTCACTTTGCAAGATGAAATAGAATAAAACTCTATCCATTTATTTTGTTTTCCTTTGTCTGCTGTGGTTCTTCCCTGTGTTAAATTTACTGCAGATGTGTTGGTTTTTGGTTAAAGGAACTCTTTACTCCACTGGGAGAGGCCTTCTATAATTTCCTGCTGTAACCAGTTTTTCTGTGCCATAAAATAATGGCAGTGGATGCAGAACTCGAAAATAAACATCTGCATAAAGATGGAGCTGTGATTGTTGGGAATTATGCTTGGATCTACCAAAATTCTATCTATAACCTTAAAATTCTGTAAATTGGGCAATGGCTGAGAGGAATAAAGTTACCAAAATACAGTGGCCCATGGTGTGGTACCCACAAACCATTTCTACCATTGCTACTTCTGCACCAGAGCCCTGACAATTATTTTATGGTTTTTATTGGAAGTTTGAATCATTTATACAGAGAAACCTGAAGAGAAGTTAATTGAATGTGGCTCACAGTTTGAAAAATGTGAACACTTCTCTTAAAGTGCTCTGAAACAGCCTGGAAAAAAATCATACTCTGTTGCATTATTTTTGTCTGGCTGCTGGAGCTTGCCAAATACAAATATACTTTCTCCTCTACTATATTTAATTTTCCTACTTATATTACATTAGGGTTACTATTATCAAATAGATACATCATATGTTGCTTGAAACACAGCTGCTGTTATTTGCATTTAGCTGTTAGCACTGTAAAACCAGTTTTTATGGTCACAATAAGAACATCAGCTACAAACAGAAAGAACAAAGAGCTTTTTTTATTAAAATAAAAAAATAACCCAATACCCAGCAACTTTTGGAACAGAAAGGTGTCACATCATCTGGCCTAATTCCAATCATTGGGTTTGCACAGTTTATTTCTCTCTTGGCCAACCTGTTAACGAAGGTTAAAGTTTCATTCTGCTATGTTTTTTGTAGTTGGTGAGGTGACCCAGTCTTCAGAAATGTTGGACCTCAGAATCAGGTGAGAAAGGAGTGACAGAAC